GCCGCCGCCACCCGCGGGCCGCCGTCGCTCGGCCTTCGGGCGTCGCTGAGTTGGAGGGGCGGTAGATGGGGGGGGGAAGAGGGGTGCCCCTCTCGGGCCGTGAAAGCCTCTTTTTGGGCCCCAAGGGGCCGCCTTAGGGGCCCTCGATGGCGCTGCTCCCCTAGTCATCACCACGATCTATCGCGGCCTAAGGCCCTGGTCTGAGCTCAAGCGTTCAAGCGGCCCTGATCGGGGCTCAACCCTCCGCCTCCGCCTTCTGCACCTTCCGACCTCCGCGAAAAAAAAAACACGGAATCATTCTTCGAAACGCATGGGCAGTTTTTTTTGGCAATTGAGAGGGTACACGTTCATAGCGAACAAGGGGCAGGAGGTTAGGGCGGACGGCCTGGAATTATGAGGGGGAATGTCAGCACGGATGTCAAGTGCAAACGGGCGACAGACAGGGCGCGGGGTCTTGCAGGATCCCGCGGAGCCCGGGCCAGGGCGCAGGGTCCCGCGGGATCTTGCAGAATCATGCAAGGCCTGACTGACCCAGGTTTGCATTGACCCGGGCGAGTGCGCCCCCGACCTGATTTTCGCCCATCCGTTTCTTTTTCGCCTCCCGCGGCCCCAGATGCTGCGACCGCTTCCCCGAGAGCGGGCCTTCGTCCCGGATCCACTGGTGAGGGCCCCCGATGGCTCGAAGCCGGCCCCCGAGGGCCGCAGGCAATGACACAACACGCAGCGATTACAAAACACGCCGGCAGAGATCTGGGGGCTCGGCCGCCGTTGGCATTCGCTGTGGCCGCCGCCGGCCGTCGGCGTGGCCGCCACCGCCGGCATTCGGCGTTTTCGCTGCCGCTGCCGCCGCCGCTTGCATTCGACGTGGCCGCGCCGCCGCGTCGGCGTGGTCGCCGCCGCCAGCCCTGGGCGTGGGCACCGCCGCCAGGGACGCCGGCGGGGCGTCGGAGAGGCGCGAAAGGCGGGACCACCGCGGCGGGGGCGTGACGCTGAGGCCGCAGGCGGACGTGGCGCGGGAAGCGCCCCGGAGCGAGGGCGAGCGCGGGGAACACCAAATGGCCCCGAAGCAAACAAACGTAAGTACACCTAGACTGATACCATTCCCTCGCCGCCAGGGCTGGATTCGTTTCGAATTCTTGGTCAGAGCATACCCCAGTACAGGTCCGTGGAGAAACGGTATGTGTATTATTTTATTCCCCCACGTGCGGTTCGTGGGGGAAACGGGTCTTGATGTTTTGTCGCCGCTGTTGGCGCCTTGGAGCCTTAGGCCGGGCCGGGTGATTCGCCGGAGGTTGATTTACGAGTTGTTATCGTAAAAATGTAATTGCCAACCGTTAGAAGGAAAGATAGCCGATGGTTTTCAACAGGTTGTTATTGCTTGAGCGCCGCGCCGCGCACCTTGAACTCGTTGTGGGAATGGAGACCCGCACGTGTTCAACGCGATACTCGCCTCATTACCCTGCAATAGCTACAAGGATGGATTTCGTTGTTTTGAAAGCGCGGCTCACGCTCATTGTCGCAACCGCGGAAAGCAAATTCGCCCGCGCGTGCTCCGAGCGCCCTGGGGGCCCCTGCGGACTCGGGATCCACGGGGACGAGGGGGGGAGAGGAGGAGGAGGAGGAAGAGGTGGCGGAGGAGGAGGAGGAGGAGGAGCAGGAGGAGAGGAACAGCAAATTCGTGGAAGCAGTTGCATTGACGGGGGGCCGGCCCCGTTTGCAAAGCGGAGTTCCCACATGAAACGGCAGTCAAGGCGCACGTCTTCCAAGGGGGGAGTAATCCTTGCAGCGAAGAGGAAGGACATCGTGAGGAGGGAACCTGCGACGGGAGGTTTTTTTTGCAGCTCCGTTGGTACATCATAGGCTTCTCATCGTCCTCCATCCTCCTCCCTCACATTCTTCACATTATTCCTGCTCCTCCCTCCCGACCGTGTTTCCAGATGTTCCCCCAACAGTGGTCGAACTTCGAGTCGCCGGCTTGCGGGCCACTCAGGAGTTGGATGGGTCCGCCGGGTTTTGCCGCGTCGTCGCCGTTGCCGATTCGTGGCCGTTTCGTTGCCGCCCACTTGGGGGGTTCGCCAAGGTTTCGTTGCGTCGCCGCCCGTGGCCGTGGTTGGGTCCGCCCAGGTTTCGCCATGTCAACGCCCGTGACCGTTTCGCTGCCGACTTGTGGGGTCCGCCGCGGGTCGCCGCCCGTTGGCCGCCCCGTGGCCGCTCCGCTGTCGCCCACTTGGCGGGGGCCGCCGGGTGTTCGCCCCCCGTGTCCGCCTCGTGGCCGCCCCGTTGCCGCCCAGTTGGGGGGTTCGCCGAGGTTTCGACGCGTGGCCGCCCGTGGCCGCCTTGGTCGTGGCCGCCGCGTTGCCGTCCAGTGGGGGAGTCCGCCGAGGTTTCGCCACGTCGCAGCCCGTGGCCGCCTCATGGCCGCCTCGTTGCGGTCACCTTGGGGGGCCCGCCAAGGTTCTGCCGCTTCGTTGCCGCCCGCTCTGGGGGTCCGCCGAGGTTTTCCCGCGTCGCCGCCCGTTGGCGGCCCCGTGGCCGCTCCGTTGTCGCCTACTTTGGACAGCCGCCGAGGTTGCGCCACCTGTGGCCGCCTCGTTGCCGCCCACTTAGGGGGGTCCGCCAAGGTTTCGCTGCGTGGCCGCCTCGTCGCCGCTTCGTTGCCACCCGCTTTGAGGGGTCCGCTGAGGCTTCGCCGCGTTGCTTCCCCTGGCCGCCTCGTTGCCGCCCACCGCGCTTAGGGGGTTCCGCCGAGGTTTAGACGTGTGGCCGTACGTGGCAGGCCCACCCCGCTTGGTGGGTCCGCCGAGGTTTCGCGCGTCGCCGCCCGAGGCCGCCTCGTTGCTGCCCACCGCGCTGTGCTTCTACTAGTGAGCTCCTAGCGGTCCTAGCCCTTGTTTTACGTAGTCGGGCAACATACCTAGCACCACATAGTTTGCACCACATACCTCCCACCACATACCGCATTGGTTACGCCACTTACCTTACAGCACATAGCTTCCACCACACAGCTTGCACCAGGCAGCTTGCACCACATAGCTTGAACATCCAGGGTGCAACAACTTATCGTGTGGGGCCAACTATTTCTACGCAGTGCTATCATTGTGGGTTAGACTATCTAGACATGCGTATCAGAGTTTGGGGAACGAGCAGTCTGACAAGGTCCCTGGGTGCGTGGTTTGACGCAGTGGGGTTTCGCGGTGCGCATTGTCGGTCTTGTCGTTCTTGCCTATCTTGTTGTCGTCGCACTCGCCCGCGAGCCGCCGACGACCCACCCGCGTCCAGCCCGCGACCAGCCAGCGACCCGCCCACGACCAGCTGGCGTGTCGAAGACGGCGACCAACAGAAAGGAGACGCACTTCAATCCGTACATGGCCTGCAGAATCCCGTGGAAGGCCGAGATGATACCACGGATGGGTCCCTTCAGACAGTGACGACGCCCACGGTGCAAACAATCACAAACCATGGCAGAGATTAAGCTGAGATGAATTCGGCTCGATACGGCCCACTACAGGGTGAGAACACCATTGGTCATCGGGCAACCCTGACGGATCGCCTCCTCTAGAGACAGGCTCGCCAACAGCCAACACAAAAGGACCACAGCACAGTAAACTAACGACTATATGCTATATGTTCACCCCGTCAATATAAACAACCGAATAATTTGGAAAGTTGAAATATTGAAATAAGATTCCCGGATCCACACTCCAGCGAAAAAATCGCCGCCCGAGTGGGATTTAGACAGGCTCGGAGACCCCGTGCCCCTCAGTTGCGGACGGGATGCCGGTGAAGGAGTCCTTGCAAGCACCACGACGAACACAGCCGCGCACCGCAGCCCGAGTGGGACTCAGATGGTCTCGGAGCCCCCGTGCCCCTCGGCGCGGACGGGATGCCGAGGACGATGTTCTGGAAAGTGCATAAACTTAAATACAAACTTGCACATTTGCGATAAAATTGAATTCGCCCATTCTTACCATCCCACACCGAGAACAAGTGTCTCAAGAACGGTTCTGTGGTGGGAGCCTCGTTGAGCGCCACGAGAAGACCATGGGCTGGGCGCTCCATAGCTAGCTCGAGCCCAACTGGGTACGATGCCTTGGGCCACCCGTGCTTGAGGAGGAGGAGGAGGAGGACGGCCACCGTGGTCTCGGTCGTCGGCGCCCGCGCCCCGCAGCCTGCCCTCCCCCCCTTGGGAAGCTTCCTTCGAAGAACAAGAACGGCATACAGGGGAAATCCATGCCAAGGAGCACCCTGCTTGCTTCCAGGGTGTTGTGGGTTTCGATGTGTTTTGCGATTGAACGCGTGGCGCTCCCACACAACAAATTCATGGACGTCCTGGGGTCTCAGGGTTTGGTTTCTTGTGGAAGGTTTCTTGTGGTCGAGCTCCGACTGTGAACATAGGCTTTTGGCGGTTCGCGCGGATTTCCTGGATCTGCGTTGGGCTTCCCGGCGTCGCCTGCGGCGCCGCCCTTGGCGCGCTCCGCGCGCCAGGGAGGGGGGTCCAGCGCCGATCCGAGAAATCCGCGCGGACCCCAAGTTTTTTTTTGTTCATGTGATTGTTCGTTACCATCTTCCAGGGACCTCTGAGAACCTGCAGGCGCCTCCCGGTCTTAGGGCGCGGGTTCGGATGTCGTCTTCGCCCCCCCTCCTCATCCTCCTCCTCCTCTCCTCGTCCTCCCCCCGCCTCCCTCCATAGCGGTGCACACGCTCTCTTTCACGCGCTCCAGCCAGCTGCTGCTCATCCCATTCTTTGTCCGTCCGACCGTCGTCCCCGTGGACAGACCCTCGCCCATCGAGGATAAAGGAACCCCTAACCCTGACAAGGATCCCCGTTTTTGCATCGAGACGTGGCCTCATTGAGATCCCCGTTTTTGCATTAAGGATGGTAAATCTGAGCGGTTTTGTTTAAGACGTCTGTCGACAGACCCCCTATCCCTAATGTTTCTGGCCTTCCAGGGGGTTAGGGGTCCTGTCACGCCTAATCGCTCGCCCCCCCCCCTCTCCAGACGAGAGCTGGAAAGACTGCGACTGGCGGCGGCGCGGCGACTGGCAAGACTGGGACGGCGGCGGGCGCGGGGCGTGGCGCGGCTCCGACCGCGGGCTTGACGAGGGCCGCGGCTCCAGCTGGGGCCGCGGCCGCCGCGAGGAGGACGCGCCGCGCCCACGACGACGACGACGACGAAGACGGCGGCGGCGGCAACGACGACGACGACGACCCCCCGAGGAGTCGGCGGGCTGACGGCTCCCGCGCCGGCGCGCCGACTCCTCGGTCGGGCGGGCATCGGCCCTGCCCGAAGCAGCGCCGGCACGCACGAGCGGCGAGCGTGTCCATGCACGTTGGTCGCCTGAAGTATTTTACCAGCCTGGAACATATCCCTATCCCTATGCTGGGCATCGCCCCATCACGATGCCAATCTTACGGATTCCCTCAGTTTTTGAGGGCGCATCCTTAAGATTGTCATAGCCTTTCGGCGTGTCAAACTTAGGGATAGGGATAAGTTCGAGGCTGGTGAGCATTATGCGGGCCGAACTTCCGTACAATGGCCGAAAGTCCGTCCAAACGGCGCTCTCGCCTCGGCGCGGGCAGCACACCGCCAGCGTCACTTGCACGTCGTGGCCAGTTGAATAGCGATTCGAGAGGATGTCTCAGCAAAAGCCGGCGTTTTTGGTTCAGATGGGGGGCTGGACGACGTGCACGAATCAAACGCACGCCTGACGAAAGTTAAAATCGAAGCTATGTGCCAGCAGATTGGGCCAGTTTGATTGCCGCCAGTTTCTGTCGAACGCGGGCGGAGCAAGGGTCCGACGGTCATAATGGATCATTGTGCCGGAAGTTGCACGTCTCGTGGAGGATATTGCGGAGTTTATTCCCATCTTCTACGTCGTGAACTCTTGTTATTCCGTGTCGCGCCCCCGTCTACTCATTCCCTCCTCATCCCTCCTTCTCCATCTCACGATCAGAACCATCGCGATGCAACAGGCACAGCATTTGGGTAACACAAGGGGGTGCCGCCAGGGTATCGGTCACTTACCGGTCCGTGACCAGATTGTGGGGATGTCTCCAGCGGTTCGCTTGCTTTACAGATGCAGGCGTGGTGTTCGCGATGTCGCAACCATAGCTCTTGGGAGCCACAAGGGGGAGCGACCATGGGGCAGGACACTTGCCTGGCGCACAGCACTCGGGGATATCTCACGCGAGACGCTGTCTTTTTGAGGGGGGCGTGTTTTTTTCCAGGGCCGCCACGAAGAAAGCGAATACTTGGGTACCCCAGAGGGCGCTTGAGGGTCGGACACTTGCCCGTTGGCGCCCAGATTGTGGTGACGTCCCCTGCGAACAGGTGGCTTTCGGAAGTTAAGCATGTGTTTTCAGGTCGTAGCAATCGCGGTGTAGCATTCATCACTTTTGGGCGCCACAGGGGGGATGCGCCGGGTGGTACATCACCAGTGCGTTCGCGCCCAGATTGTGGGGATTTGTCAATCGAACCGATTGTTTTGAACATGTCGACGCGTCTCTTTTCCAGGTCGCGCAGGCGCCGCGGCGACATAGTAGACATACGGATTGGGTTCTACAAGGGTCAACCGCCAGGGGGCAGGACGCATGCGCGTCAGTGCCCAGATTGTGGGGATACTTCACGCGAAATGCTGGTTATTGAAAGGAAAACGTGTTTCTTTTCAGGGCTGCGTGATCACTGCGATGTACTATGGGGACCGAAGGGGGGTGGGCGCTAGGGGGTACATCACGGGCGCTGTCGCGGTCACATTACGAGGATGTCTCGGCTCACCCAGTTTTTTATTGAATCGCTTCGCTCATTCCGCCGGCCCGTATTGTACCATCGCGGGGTCTTGAGGGGTCTTGGGAGCCCTTGGAAGCTTCGTGGGAGCTTCTTGGGAACTTTGGGAGGCCTCGTGGATGGCTCTGGGTGGGCCCCTTGGGGGGGTCTGCCTGGCCTCTTGGGGGCCTCCTGGGAGCTTCCTGGGGGTCTCTTGGGGGCCTCTTGGGGCTTTCTTGCGGCCTGTTGGGGGCCTCTTGGGGCTCTCTTGGGGGCTTCGTGGGGCTACTTGGGGGCTTGTAGGGGCATTTCGGGGGCGTGTTTGGGCGGGAGGCTCGAAATTTCCGTTCAGGTTGCCCCTGTGGACCTCAATCATGGGGCCGTCTTGGGGCCTCTTGGACCGTCTTGAGGGTTTCTTGGACCTTCTTGGAGCGCTCTTGGGCCGTCTTTGAGCGGTCTTGAGGGTCTCTCGGGCCGTCTTGGGGTGATCTTGGGGGCCTCTTGGACCGCCTTGAAGGGTGTGAAAGACGAAGAGGCGGATATGTTAAAATGCTCGTTTTCCTAGGGAATGGGACGATTTTTGCTAGTGGGAGCCCTCTTGGGACGCCGCTTAGGGACCTCTTAGGGACCTCTTGGGGCGTCTTGAAGGCCTGTTGGGCCGTCGTGAGGCCATCGTAGGCGTTTGGGAGTGATATTTCGGCGTCTCCTGGCTCTCTTGGACCGTCTGGAGGGCTTCTCGGGCCCCTCTTGGACCGATTTGGAGCCCTCCTGGGCTCCGAACAAGAGTTCTTGAGGGTTTCTTGGGCCTTCTTGGAGCGCTCTTGGGCCGTCTTTGAGCGGTCTTGAGGGTCTCTCGGGCCGTCTTGGGGTGATCTTGGGGGCCTCTTGGACCGCCTTGAAGGGTGTGAAAGACGAAGAGGCGGATATGTTAAAAATGCTCGTTTTCCGGAGGGAACGGGACGATTTTTGCTTGTGGGAGCCCTCTTGGGGCGCCGCTTAGGGACCTCTTGGGGCGTCTTGAAGGCCTGTTGGGCCGTCTTGAGGCCATCGCAGGCGTTTGGGAGTGATATTTCGGCGTCTCCTGGCTCTCTTGGACCGTCTGGAGGGCTTCTCGGGTCCCTCTTGGACCGTCTGGAGCCCTCCTGGGCTCCGAAAAGGGACCTTGCCAGGACCTTGCTGGGGTACTTTTCGTCCGGGGACCCCCAGGGCCCGCCCCGCGCGCGCGAACTAGAAATATTGTTGAGCAGTTACCGGAGATCTTAGCACGCCCGTTGGGCCGGCGAATATTCCCGTTCATTTTCCGACGTTCGTAGACAGGAATCGCAAAGAAATTTACGCCTTGTCTGGCCAATGAAAAATAGCGTGGATGAGGAGGATCCGGAGGAGGAGGAGGAGGAGGAGCAGGAGCTGACCGATGCATACATGGCGATCCCTTTTGACGAAGCATTTGCCCGTTTGGCCTCGTTGGCGGCGGGTTGATTTGCGTGGCGCTCCAGGCACTTATCGCTGCTCCAAGTGGTGCGTTGCAGCGCGTTCCTTCCCTCTCCCTCCTCGCGCCCTTCCTTTATGCCCCGTCCCCCCCTCGCTTTTTGTTGGCGGATGGGCGTGGGATGGCGCCCCCATTGTCCCTTCCCCCCGCCTCCCCCGCGGTGGCGCGCGCCGACAGCGCTCCGAACTCAGTTCGGAGTTGTCCGAGCCAGGCTTCGGCAGCCGACGGGGGGGCGGGAGGCCTGACGCCGCGCCCCTGTCCGGTCTTTTTGCTGCTCCTCCCTCCTCTTCTTGATTCGTCCGTTCCTTTTCCTCCCTCTTCGCCAACCCTGCCTTGCCATTCAACGTTGCTGGGTACGCGCATTGCCCCTGCTTTGGCGCCCAGGTTGCTAGGAGCTCGCAAGCGACAGCGACGAGGCTTTTGGCTGCGCGGCTGGGTTGGTCGGTCGCCTTGGTCTATGCCCCTGTCGTTGTCGAGCAACGAAATAACATTACAAGGTGCGTGCCCTCTCCTTTTATCTTCGCGCCCGCATTGTGAGGGCGTCTCAAGTGATGCTGTCGCGTCTTGATGGTTGAGTGATTGGTTGGTTTGGTCGGCGCGGCTTTTGCCCGAATGCTTGGCAGCGGGGGCCGATTCCCCGAGTGGGCGCACGACGCGGTGTTCACTGGGCCTCAAGTGTATGCCAGTCCTGTGGTGTTCGTGCAGGGTCTGCCTGGCGGCGCGCAAGATCAGCAGCCACGCGGATCGCGCACTTCTTGCAGCTTGGGCAGCACAAGCGGCCATGCGGTTCATATATCGCCCGCGGCCCGCGGCCCGCGCGCTGCGCGCTGCCCGCGCGTCTCCCCCAGCCTTTTGCAGGGGGCGCCCCTCCGTCTCGCGCGGCCCGTGCGGCTTCGCTAGTCCGACGCGGCCCCCCGCCCCCCCCATCCCATGCGGATCACGCGGCCCATGTGGATTACGCGGCCCTTGCGTTTCGCGCAGCTCCTGCGGTCCATCTGGCGCATGCAACTCCCGCGCCCCACGCGCGCCGCAGTCCGCGCGCAAGCGTCGCCCCCGCCACCGCGCCCTGAGTTTTTGCGACAAGGGCGTCACATGCACGCTGGCAAGGATCTGATTTGTACAGTTTGTCCCGTTTCCGATGTTTTTTTCTCCGGTTCTTCTTTTGCGTTTTCCAGTTTGTTGTTTCTCTGTTGTTTCTCCGCCTTTCCGTTACCGCGCGGTTTTGGCTGGTCGTTCATGGTAGTCGGGGCGCGCTGCAGCTAGCAGCGGCTCGTCCGCCAGACCTCGCTTGCGGTGGGTTGGTCCGCGCTGCGCTCCATGTTTTCCGCCGGCCGCGCGGTGGTGCGTTTCAGCGCGTTCCTTCCCTCTCCTTCCCTTTCCTCCTGCGAGCCATTCTTTCTTGCCCCGTTTCCCCGCCCCGCTTCGCTTTCAGTTTGCGCGCGGGCGTTGGGCGGCACTCCGTTTGTCCCTCCTCGCTTCTTAGATCCAGGCTCCGGCGGCCGAAAGGGGCGAGGATGCCTTAAATGGCGCCCCTGCTTTGGGAGGGGGAACATTTTCAGTTGTTTTTCATGTTCTGGATTCTTCTCGTCCCCGCCCTCCCCTTCCATCGGCCCCGCCTTATGTGCGCCCCCCGTCTGTCGTGGCGCCGCGACATTTGGCTGTTTGATTGATTTGTTGTTTGGGTGTTTGGCTGCGTGGCGGGTTTGTTGGTTGATCGGTTTTCGCTCGCCTTCCGAGTTTGTTCCCCGCGCCGCCTTCTTCAGCTTCAGCCGCTGTCGTCATAATTGTGCCACGTCCGCTCAGCGTAGTTTTTTGTTCAGCATTGCGGGGTGCACGTTTGTTGACACATCCGCATCTCGCCGCCCCGCCCCCTCGCCCGCCGACGTCCTC